AATAGAAATACCCAGACACAGAAATATAAATATCTTGTATCATTATCTTATCAATAAAGGACCTCTATCTTTATAAATATTATAAGTAAATTGTCTCTTGTTAACGAACTGCCCTAGCGAAGTAATATTCCACTTGGACACCGCTACGAGTCCCGGAGCTGTGTCTTATATTACTTGTGATCTATTAAGAAGGCTAGACACTTGTAATATTTTGGTGCCTTCTGGCGGAAAAGCTAAAAACTCTCCCGGCCAGCCCAAAATATTGACGATACAATATTTACGATTAGATACTAACCTCGGATTCAGATAGGAAAACCCTGCTAGACGGACTTAGTAGGAAGGGCATACTGGAAGCCTCTGCATTAGTTGCACCATTGGAAAACCTGACAAATTGAAAGAGATTTGCTCAGAAGGGCACACTTTAAGCCTCTGCATTAGTTGCACCCAGGAGCTAGCAGCTTACTGCGAACCTTAACAAGGATTGTTAAGCGCGAATTACCCACGAGCCAAAGTGTAGGCGTAAGTAATTCCAATTGACTCAGAGAACATTATTTCAAACATAATTAATTAAAGAATCTATAAAGAAAAACATTACATGCATAGAGCATATCAGTTACATTTAGACCAACTCCGAGCACACGATCGACAACACCGAGATACCAGTTTATCTTTTGAAACTCTTCAAGCAATTAACCCAGATCTATCTTGTAAAGTGTGTTATCCCGGAACTAATTATCATCGCCAATTTCGTGCCTTTTGGACTTGGTATAGTCGAACCTACCAAGCAGTTACCTATACACAACGCACTGTTACCGCTCACCATAATTTGATTAACCACCCCACCTATTCTGAAGCAAGAGCAGCCACAAGAGACATTGTTTTTAGTTGTAGATATAGAGCTCCCTTAGAAAATCCCAGAACAGTTATTGAAACTTTATTAGTTAGCTATTCTCGATTCACCCTTGCCTCTACTTTACCTGACGAATTTACCGCAAACCAATTTGACTATTACCTCGAACAACTAACTGCTTCTTCATCACAACCTTCTATTCCCCCACAAACCTCAGAAGAAACTACTACAACTTTTGGTTCTCCTATCCTTGGCGAATACCAAAAACCATTTGAACAATTTACCTTCAATAGCCCAACTGAAGAATTTGCCTCCTCTCAGCTTTACCCTTCTCTCGAACAAATAGAAAACCGTGAAGCTACTTCTACCTCAACTTTAACTCCTTATCGTGAAGAAACTACTCCAATCCAATTCTCTCAGAGAACTGAACACCCTTCTTCACCTGCTTTACCTTTTTATCAAACCAGACCATCCACCCTTACTGAAACCCCTTTAGGACCTCCTGAACCACAACAACCTATCCCTCCTTCCACTGAATTATCTGAATCCTCCGGTCTAATTTCCAAATTTATACGACACTTTACTACTACTACTCCAGTAACACCTAAAGAAGACATAATTTCTCCTATACCTGGACAATTTCCTACGACCACTACTTCCTCTTCTAACATTTATCCTCAGATTCCCTCTCCCCAAACTAACCTTCAATCTCTTACACGAACTAATAGCCCTAGTGGGTTTGATACTTATCTTGATATCGATTCTATTAGTAATTTACTAGAAACAGAACAAACAGAATTAGAATCCCAAGTAACTGTACAAGAATCTTCTAATCAAGCCTCTGAAGAAGATTTAAGAGACGAAATTCTTGAAGTGCTTGACCAACCCTCTCAACACAATAGCCCCGTATTAACCGAAGTCGTACCAGAAAATACAGAAGAAGAAGAACCAAGAAATATGGCTGAAGACGCTTTAAATGCTGCCGCCGACGCTATGACTGCTTTAGCTGCAACCTTAGGCCAAGGTGGTGAAAAGTCTCTTATTAAAATAGATTATTTTAGAGGAGATGGAACCCAAGATCCTATAACCTGGATAGAAGAATTTGAAAGAGCTGCCAAAGCTAACCACTGGCGTGCTGCCCGACAATTAGAATTAGCCTCTGCATATATGAAAGACAATGCTCAAGAATGGTTTACAGGCCTTGAAAATGCCCCTACTCATTTTCATCATCCTCAACATACCCAAGTAGTAAATGGAAACCGGGTCCATAGTTTTTCTCATCTATTTAAAGAAAAATTTAGCACTACGAAACAAAAAGCCACTTGGCAAAAACAACTCTTTGAAATAAAACAAGGCACAGATACTGTTGATACCTATGTTAGCCGGTTTAAGAAGTTAAAAGAAAGAGTAGACCCTACCAATGTCTTCCCTGCTGCCGTCCTTATCCAATTCTTTATTCAAGGACTACGTCCTGAATATGCAATTAATGTGCAAGCTGCGGAACCTGCTACACTAGCACTTGCCATAACTGAAGCAAGAAAATGGGAAACTGGAAGACTTATGACCAACGATTATAATGCTAATGATACTAACCAGGCTATTGAACGCCTCACCGAACAAATATCAAAGCTAAGCATTAATCTTGCTGAGAAACAAACCACTCCTCCTCCCCAACCTGTTTATTATGCTGGAAAAGATAGAGACCAATCTAGGACTAGCAATAATAGTGCCGTATGCTATTATTGTGGTAATAAAGGACATTTTATTAGAGAATGTCGACTAAGAAAAGAAGATCGTCACTCTGACCAATACTATCGAGACTCTCGATCAAGTTACCCATCTTCTAACTCCTACTCTAATAACCGAAGCTATGATAGATCCAGATCTCGAAATAGAGATGACCGAAAACCTAGTTATTCTAACCGTTCTCGAAGTAGATCCAGAGATAGAAACTATGACTATAATAGAAGATCCTCAAGCCGGAACCGACCTCAATTTAGAGACCGATCTAGAGATAGATCTAGAGAAAGATCCTCTACCCCATACCCTCGAGATGTATACACTGTAGACACTGCTAACGATTATACCTATGAGCAATTTGAAACCTTTCTCACTAATGAATCCATTAGAATTGCTTTAGCTAGCCATTTAGCTGAGCAGAAAGTTGAAGTAAACCCTTCTCAGGCTCAAACTCATACCACTCCTGTTAAATGCAATATAAAAATAAAAAGCAAGCCCTACCAGGCAGTAATTGATAGTGGAGCTGCTATTAGCATGATCTCTCATCAGGTTGTAAAGGAATTAGGACTTAAAATAGATATTCCCTCGACTAGTTTAATTGTTTCTGCTACCGGACCCTCCGTTCGACCTCTTGGAATTATTAAGAACCTCCCTATAGAAATTGAAGGAACTACTATCCCCATTGATGTAGAAGTAATGGCCGCTACCTCTTACTCTCTACTATTAGGCAACGACTGGTCTCAAAAAGTTAATGCCAGTTATAATTGGAAAAATAGAGCTTATACCCTCCGATGGAATAATAGAAAAGTTCATATTCCTACCACTTATGAACAGAACCAACCTTTACCCTCTCAACCCACTATTACTGACAAAGAAGATCTTGATAAATTCGAACAGGAATACTTAACACCTAAAGAAGCCTATGTCCTAAACAATTTGGCTACAGATACAGATAACAATGAATGGACTATTCAAGGACCCTCCCGAAGAACCAGAAATTACCCTAACTTAACTCGAAAATGTGGAACCTGCTATTCTCCTAATCATGTCTTTGCTGATTGCCCACACAATCAATGCAATCGATGTCACAATTATGGACATATCTCTGCCCATTGCCCTCAACAAGCCCCCAAAAGAGCCAACTGTAAAACCTGCTCTCAACCCGGACATTTGTATAAAGACTGCCCTGACAACCAGTGCCACCAATGTAGTGAATACGGACATATTGGAATTAACTGCCCTCTTACCCCTCTGCTAAGAGATAACCGAAGATACAGATGTGGATGTACCGAAGCCCAAGTAGAAGCCCAACGAACCTACTACCATAGCTCTCGACGTATAAATCATTGTTGCAAATGCTACACCCCTCAACGACCCAAAGATATACATCTTCTTGATGACATGTTAGTTTGCAGAACTTGTTGGACTGACTTTCATGTAGAACTTGACCGTACCGATCCCCGAAGCATTGAATACTTTACTAATGGTGAAGGACGATACCTCCTGACCAATTGCAAGCTATGTAATGAAGAAAGTATTAGATCCAGAATGTACAAGCTAGATACTATTAGAGAAGATACTTGGTTTTGTAGTCTTGAACATTTGTATGCTTACAAAGCTGCCAAAGATGTTGAATGGAACCCGAACTATAATCTTTGGACACGAGTACGCCATTATACCGAATCCACTCAAAACGCTGGACATTCCTATGACTTAAACCAAGATAGAATCTTTAGACTTGCCCAGGTTCAACTTGGAGAAAGTACCCAGAATATCGCCGAAGCTATAGAACCTCAGATCCATGACCGGTATAATTCAGGATACTCCGAAGATGAAATTAATCTTATCGTTCGAGCACCGCATACCCATTTAACCAACACTGAACAGGAACAACTAGACCAAATTCTAGCTGAATCCTTTGACATAAGCCACCCTGACTTTGACCACCGTAAAGCATTAGACAACCTCCAAAGAAACTTCTGTGGACATGTAGACCTATGCCATGATTGTTATATGCCTAAGCAGAAGACTGACCTTATTGAAGGATACTGCCAGGATTGCCATCTGGAACGAAATCCTCCCCCTCCAGAACTGGAACCTCTACCAGAACCAGAACATCGACCAATGACCCCATTAGCTCTTAATTATGATGAAATAACTAATCTTCTTCGACAACAAATAGAACAACAGGCCCAAATTGTAACTTTGTTGCAACAACGAGTTCAAAACCTTGAGAATCAGACTTTAATTATTCCTGCCCTCCAACAAAGGATTAATACTTTAGAAACATTCCACAAAAGAATCGGAACCTTCTATAATGAGCAATTTCAGTCTATAGAAGATGAACTACTTACTACTACCGACACTGCCTCAAATTTTTAGATTATCCTGAGTACGATGAAAAACTACTTAGTGATTCAGAGATTTTACCCTCAGAGACAGAAGCCTTAGATACAGCCCTTAGAAACACTCTTAAGATACAGGAAATATATACACTCACTCAGGAAATAAACCCGAATACTGGACCTTTAACTGCCGAACAAGGACAAAAATTTCGACATTTACTTACCGAATTTGCTGACCTCTTTGCAAAAGATATTAACCAACTAGGAAGGACTGACCTAGTTACTCATAAAATAATTACCGAAGAAGTACCCCCAATCAGTTCGCGACCTTATATGGTACCAATAACGGAACAAGCCATTATTAATGAAGAGATACAGAAGATGTTAGAAAACAGGTTAATTCAAGAATCAAACAGCCCCTGGACCTCTCCTGTTGTACTAGTAACCAAGAAGAATGGAAAGAAAAGATTTTGTGTTGATTACCAGAAGTTAAATATGATTACCAAAAAGGATTCCTATCCCCTTCCACGAATAGATGAAATGCTTGACTCACTTGCCGGAGCCCAATACTTTTCTACTCTTGATCTTATGAGTGGATATTGGCAAGTAATGATGCATCCAAACGACCGTGAAAAGACTGCTTTTATAACAAGATATGGTACTTACGAATTTATAGTAATGCCATTTGGACTTTGTAATGCCCCCGCAACTTTCCAACGACTCATGAATCAAGTTTATAAGGACATCGCCTATAAATATGTTGTAGTGTATCTAGATGATACCAATGTCTTTTCCAAAACATTTGAAGACCATATTCGACATTTACGAGAAGTATTCACCCGAATTAGAAAAGCCGGATTAAAGCTTAATTTAGAGAAGTGTACCTTTTGGATGAAACGATTACCCTTTTTAGGACATATTGTAGAAGCAAAAGGAATCTCCCCAGACCCAGATAAAATTATAGCCGTACAAGGAATTCAACCTCCAGAAAATGTAACCCAACTTCGATCTTTTCTAGGACTTGCTGGATACTATAGAAGATTCATTAAAGGATTTTCTACTATCGCCCAACCGTTAAACCAATTATTGCATAAAGACAAGGCCTATGAATGGGATAACAAATGTCAACAAGCCTTTGATGAATTAAAGCAAAGATTAATTACAGCCCCTATTCTTATTTACCCTAACTACAAACAAGAATTTATCCTAGCCACCGATGCCTCCTATCACGGATTTGGAGCCACTTTAAGCCAAATCTCCGATGATAACAAGGAACACCCTATTGCTTATGCGAGCAAAAGTCTAAGAAAAGAAGAATTGAACTATGGAGCAACCGAACTAGAATGTGCTGCCATAGTATGGGCAATTGAACATTTCCACAAGTATTTTGGAACGCATCACTTTACCCTAATTACGGACCACTCTGCTTTGCAATGGTTAAAATCTTCACAGCCTAAAGGACGCTTAGGAAGATGGATAATGAAACTCCAACCATATAACTTTACTATAATTCACAAACCTGGACGAATTCATTCAAATGTTGATGCCCTCTCAAGATTAAAGATTCAGACACACCCTCCTTCAACTATCAAATCATGAATTTAGATCACTACCAAAATCTTGTAGAATATTTAGAAACAGATAAACTCCCTCTTGATGCAACGGACAATGAAAAACAGAAAATTATTAAACAATCTAGATATTATAAACTCAAAGATAAATTGTTATACAAGAAGAACCGAAAAGACCCAGACAAACCTATACGAGTTATAAAATGGACCGAAGTAGACCCTATCCTGTACATGATGCATAGTCACCCCACTGCTGGACATTTAGGAACAGATGCTATGTATTATAAAATAGCAGAGCGATATTATTGGGACCAAATGTATAGAGATATTCAACACTATGTTCGCTCATGTGAAACCTGCCAGAAAAGATTAAAAGGAAAAAGAAAAGAACCTCTTCACCCTATTCAAATCGGACGAGCCTTTGAACGAATAGGTATAGATTTAGTAGGACCCCTCCCTATAACGACTCAAAATAATCGATATATAATTGTTGCCACTGACTACCTTACAAGATGGCCCGAAGCAAAAGCCGTACCAGACGCAGGCGCAGAAATACTAGCAAGATTTATATTTGAAGAAATAGTTTGTAGACATGGAGTACCTAAGATTATTCTTTCGGACAATGGAAAGAACTTTATAAGTGATGTTGTTAAAGTTTTGTGTGAAAAATTTTTAATTAAACACATATTTTCCTCTCCATACCACCCCCAAACCAATGGAATGGTTGAAAGACTAAATAGAACACTTTGCAACTCTCTTGCAAAAGTTAAAGAAAAAGATGAAGACTGGGATATACATATACCTGCCATCCTGTTTGCTTATAGAACTAAACGACATGCCACAACAGGATATACACCATTTCAATTAGTATATGGACGACAAGCAATACTACCCATTGAAACAACTATCCCTATAGAACATAAGGAACCAGAAGAAGAAATAGACTTAGAAGACAGTATATTACAACGAGCATTTGAACTAATAGAAGAATTACCCTATCAACATAACCAAGCTAGAGAGAATACACATAAGTCACAAGAAAAACAGAAAGTTAGATTTGATTCAAAGATACAGATAGAAGAATTCGAAATAGGTGATAAAGTATGGGTAATACGAAAAGAAATAGAAGCCTCTCGCTCTGCAAAATTCGAAGAAAAACGAACAGGACCATTTATAATTAAAAGCAAATTAAACAACGGAGCTTACAAACTTTGTACAATGGATGAAAAAACACTGCAGAAGTACTATAACAGTGATCGACTTGCAAAGTATCACGAAAGACAGAAATGGGAACCTGTAATAGTGATAGATAAATAATGATTTTCGGTGAAAATTCTTGAAATGATGCGAAACCCACATGGAAAAATTAGTATAACACAGAAATTAAATTAGTGTAACCATAGAAATTTTAATAAATAGACATAGTTAGAAGTTTTTCCTTTCGTCAAAATTGTAATTTTTAGGTTAGAAATGGAAAATTTTGCTATTTCACAAATCCAACCCCAAACTTTAGAAACCCTTACTAGTTTTCTTAGACAATGGAACGAAGACTCTTTTTCGAGTAATCGTAGTTTAATAATAGTAAATAGACAAGTAACAGTAATAGATGGAGTAGACATAATAGCCTCTCTCCAATTATCTGAAGACACCAATGAAGTTGAGATTCAGACGATTCAAAATCCAGACCCAGAGATAGTTATTGCAGAAGATAATGCAAATGAAATAGATTTAGAAAATTTGTTAAACACTCCTGACCAAACAAACGAAGCTTTAACCTTCTTGAAAGAAGTTGAAGACACAAGAAAATCTCTATTGAACAGTTTAAAAGAAGACCTCACTATAGAAAAAGATGAAATCTTTACTCGAAGAAACCCGTTATTAGGAATTACCTATAAGGAAAAGATTCAAGAAATTACTCAACGATTAGGGACAGAAACTCGAGGAAAACAAAGAGACAGCCAAATCAAGACCCTCGAGACATGTTATTATTTGGGACAATTACGAGAAAGTCATAAAGAAAGTAAGCAAAGAATTAAAGATATGAGAAATATCTTGAAGAAATCTCTTGGAACAAGAAGAGCCACCAGATCTTGGAAATGTGCAGAACGAATTAATGAACTCCTACAAATATGTGGATTACAGAAACTTTTCTCCACCACCATAATTACCTTCAGTAACCTCGAAGAATTATCTGAAGAAGACTTTACAGAACTCGTAAATGAAGTGAAGATTCACGGAGTTCATCCTTAAACGGGACGGAAATGTTATAGAATGAATTGACAGAAAATCAAATCCTTGCAGATCAAAATCGCCGTCAAACTTTTGAACGCCGATATCTC